CTACAATAGGATGAGTTCTTTGGGTATATGCCAAGAAGTGGTATTTTTGTATTTTTTAAGAGTTCTCCACACTTTTCCATAGGGGTTGCACGAGTTTGCAATCCCGCCAGCAATGAATGAGCGTTCCCCTTCCTCCACATCCTCGCCAGCATTTGGTATCATTTGTTCTCATGATCCTAGCCAGTCTGATTGGGCTAAGGTGATACCTTAGGGTGGTTTTAATTTGCATTTCCCTAATTACTAACAACTGTGGACACTTTTTGAGATGCTTCTTAGCCATCTTTATTTCTTCCTGTGAGAACTCTGTTTAGATCTTTAGCCCATCTTTTAATTGGGTCATTTGGTTTCTCCTTTGTTTTTTGAGTTCTTTATATATTCTGGATGTTAAACCTCTTATCAGATGTGTCACATGAAGATGTTTTCCCATTCTGTGGATTTTCTCTCCCCTTTTCTTGATTGTTTCTTTTGCTGTACAGAAGCTTTTTAGTTTAATGAGGTCCCACTTGTTGATTGCTGACCTGAATTCCTGAGCAACTTCTGTCCAATTTAGAAAATCCTTTCTTACACCTTGTAAGGTACTGCCAATATTTTCTTCTAATAGTTTCAGGGTTTCCAGTTTCACATTCAGGTCTTTGATCCATTTGGAGTTGACTTTTGTGCAAGGTGATAGATAAGGATCTAGTTTCATTCTTCTACAGGTGGAGATCCAGTTTTGCCAGCCTTGTTTGTTGAAGATGCTGTCTTTCCTCCATTGTGTGTTCTTGGCACCTTTGTCAAATATCAGGTGGCTGAAACTGCATGTACTTGGGTTTGGGTCTTCAATGATGCTCCATTATCTATGTGTTTATTTTTGTGCCAGTACCATGCTGTTTTTATGACTATAGCTCTGTAGTATGCTTTGAGATATGGTATAGTAATTCCCCCAACGTTGCTTTTTTGCACTTGGTGTTGCTTTGGCTATCCGGGGTATTTTGTGCTTCCATATGAAGATAAAGATGGTTTTTTTTCTAATTCTTTGTATGTCATGGGGATTTTGATTGAGATTGTGTTGAATCTATATATTGCTTTTGGTAGGATGGTCATTTTCACAATATTAATTCTTCCAATCCATGAGCATGGGTAGGCCTTCCATCTCTTGGTATCCTCCTCAATCTCTTTCTTTAATGATTAAAATTTTCATTGTAGAGATCTTTGGTGTCTTTGTTCAGATTTATTCCAAGATATTTTATTTTATTTTATTGCAGCAATTGTGAATGGGAGCATTTACCTGTATTCTTTCTCCAGTTGCTTGTTATTGGTATATAGAAAGGCTACTGATTTTTGTAGATTAATTTTATAACCTTGATTTTATAACCTGCCACTATACTGAAAGTGTTGATCAGTTCTAGGAGTTTTCTGGTGGAACTTTTGGGATCTCTTAGGTATAGTATCATATCATCTGCAAAAAGTGATAGTTTGACCTCTTCCTTTCCAGTTATTACTCCTTTAATTTTCTTCTCCTGTCTTATTGCTCTAGCAAGAGTTTCAAGCATTATGTTTAAAAGGAGTGGAGATAGTGGACATCCTTGTCTGGTTCCTGATTTTAATGGGAATGCTTCTTCCAGTTTTTCTCCATTTAGAATGATGTTGGGTGGCTGGAGAGATGGCTGAGTGGTTAAGAACACTGGTTGCTCTTGGAGAAGACCTGGGTTCGAATCCCAGCACCCATATGGCAGCTAACAACTGTCCATAACTCCAGTCCCAGGGGATCCGACAGCCTCTTCTGACCTCCGTGGGCATTGCACAACATGGGTGCACTTACCTACATGTAGGCAATACACGCATACACATAAAATAAAAAGAAAAAAAGAAAAAAAAAAAAGATAAAAAGAATGATGTTGGCTGTGGGTTTGTTGTATACAGCTTTAATTATGTTGAGGTATGTTCCCTCCAGTCCAATTCCCTCTAGGACTTTGAACATAAATGCTTGCTGAATTTTGTCAAAAGCCTTTTCTGCATCTATTGAGATGACGAGGTGGTTTTTGTCTTTGAGTCCATTTATATGATGTTAACGTTTATTGACTTGCATATATTGAACCATCCCTACATCTCTGGAATAAAGCCTACTGATCATGGTGAATGATCTTTTGATGTATGTCTGTATGCAGTTTGCAAGTATCTTGTTGAGAATTTTTG